AATTTTTTATTATTTAAAAAAATAACTAGACATGTGCAGATCAGATTAACAAATTAACATATTAATGAAGCCGTAAAAACACGATTTATCTATAATAATCGATAAAAGTATGTGGTAGAAGATATAATATGTATAATTAACAATTATTTAATGACAATTACACTTAAACAATGATAATAAAAGTAAGTACATTTTAAACATTTTAGTGCACTTAATCATTTGGACATAGCATAGAATTTTTAACCTACTTCTTTATAATCAAAGAAATATCAGTCAAATAAAAACGGAGAAAATATATGACTTCTATCGCACAACTTTGCTAAATAAATTACATATGATAGCAATGCTGAATAAGATATAATTTTTGGCGCTAAAATGATAACTAACTTAAAAATTCGATTATGATGCCGTACGCAATAAGCAACAGTAAGTTGATTGCTCAAAATTTTTCTCAGGCGATATTCCAAAATCTCAATTTGACAACATATGTGCATAAACAATCCGCACACAAGGCTATCTATTGCGACGTTTACAATACCGCTATAACATGCGCTTAAAAGTTGTTGAGCATATGTGAAGCAAAATATCTTGTAAGATGAATAATCGTATGGTATCCATTCTCTATATTTTAGCCTTTTGTGTCTAAAGTCAGTGAATACTGAAGACGAAATGACGATTATGCATGTTGCCGTAACTAAGAGTGTGTACCTTAATGTATTGTTCCTAGAAAGTGACTAAAGAGTTATACCGATTACTAACACACATAAACTATATAAAATAAAATACATGAGAAAATTTATATCTATTTGTTATAACAAATAAAATATTATTAGATACTAGTACTACCATAACTAACATAATTTATTATTAAACAATTTAAAAATTTTTATTTTAAAAGTTTTTAATAGAAGTAACTTGTGAAATGAGTTGAATTTAAAACAATTAAAATTTTTAATTTATTAAAATTACATTTATTTAAAATATTTATTTTAATTAAATGTAATTTTAAGTGTGTATATAAGAAATATTATAAATAAAATTAATATTTCCAAAAGAGCAATGTTAAATAAGGGATCGAAAATTACTAAATTAAAATATATATTTACCGTATTAGTTTATCATATCGTCGTCGAATTTTCATCTCATCCGAATCTAGTGGTTTAAACGGCTCCTCGGTAAGATAGTTAATTAACGCTACAATATTCTCATAATTTAAACACATGATGAGTACTTTATAGCATGAAATTGATACGGTCAACATCATATTCAGATTGTTTGTGAAGTCGTTAGTATTGTCGACATACAGGACGAGGTCCATAATTTGAAATATTGTGAACGTGTACAACATGATAATTACATATAATCTGTAGATATTGTAAACTGTTCGTTTAAATAAAGATGTCCACGATTGCGGCCGAAAACATCCAGATATCGTAACAATTGTATACGTCAATTTCAAAATATGCATTATATCAGATGTTATATTAATTTAATTGTGTGGAAAGAAAAGTAAACGGAAAAATAAATATAGCAGAATTGGGTTGTATAAGACTATATAACGTGTTATAACTTTTTGAGTATAATAATGGAAATATTAGGTCAATATTCATTGCTCTCAAGATAACTTTAGCCTAACAGAATCTCTATTATGCGAGAAGTAAGACAAAATAACATAATTTCACGAGGGTACAAGGCCCTGTAGAAGGTCTATAGACTTATGACGTTACTTCTCGATGGTAACAATATTTTCCATCGATATTTCCTACTTACTTTTGCATATTTAATATCTGTATCTTTATAATAACAAAATTGCAATAATTGTCTTCAATACATTGCAGTATGTCCTCAAGATAATTGGATAAACTATTTCTACATACACGTTTGATTATATAGAAAATGTAATATTTCCATTGCTACATCGAAATAGAGAACAAAATTATAACATGTCAAGAAGAAAAGGAAAAATTTTTCAAAGGTTTTTCAATAATATATGAGATGTGAACCTCGACAATATCTTGATATAAGTCTCACGATATACATGTAACGTCTCTCATTACATTTATCTACTATCCATA